CAGAGACCCTTCAGGGATTTTGTCTCCTTACACTCTGAGGTATCCTCATTTCTTGATGTTTTCTTTGATTTTTTTTAAGGTTAATTTCTGGTTCTTAAACGATGATTTGCTCTAATAATTTGCAGGAACACCGGTCCCGAGGATGTCTTTATTAAGGTCACTCTGCCACACTGATATTCATCAAATCAAAAATGATTTTGGCATGTCAAAGTACCCTATGGTTCCTGGGTACTACTAAAACTCTCATCTTTAGGTTTCTTTATCTTCTTGTTTATGAATCAATGGTTTTTTTCTATGCATGAAGTTGTTGGTGAGGTGGTATAAGTTGGTTCCGATGTAAGCAAGTTCAGAGTCGGAGACGCTGTTAGCGTCTGTTGTGTTATTGGATGTTGCAGAAGCTGCCGGCCATGCGACACGGACAATGAACATTACTGTCTGAAGATCTGGTCGTTCAACGATGTCTACACCGATGGAAAGCCAACTCAGGGCGGCTTTGCCGGTTCCATGGTCGTTGATGATCAAAAGTGAGAATCAAGAACAAAATGTGCTCTGCATATAATAATCAATGCTGGATCCATGCTCATTTATGCGTTTTTTTCTTAGGTTCGTGGTGAAAATCCCAGATGGAATGAACCCAGAACAGGCGGCACCTCTGTTGTATGCAGGGGTGACAGTTTACAATCCGTTGAAGCACTTTGGTTTAGTGGGGAGTGAGTTGAGAGGAGGGATATTGGGACTCGGGGGAGTGGGGCACTTGGAGGTGAAAATAGCCAAAGCCATGGGACATCATGTGACTCTGATCCGCTCCTCTGATAAGAAAAAAAAAACTAGGCATTGGAACATCTCGGTGCCGATGAATACTTGGTCAGCTCCGACGCCGAAGGGATGTGAAAGGAGGTAGAATCGCTCGACTATATCATCGACACCGTGCTTGTTTTTCACCCTCTTGAGCCTTACCTTTCATTGTTGAAACTCGATGGAAAATTGATCCTCACTGGTGTCATTAACACCCCTCTTCAGTTTGTTACCCCAATGATCATGCTTGGTCTGTCTAATTCTTTAACTTTTAACCCTTCTTTTCGGGATTTTGTTCTCAGTTTGATCCGAAAACTAAATTATATTTCTAAGTTGATATCGCTTTGATTATTTTTTTTGTCTTCTACTTATATCTTATTTTTATGTTGTTATTGTTTTGATTATTTTTCCGCTTACTAATCACTAACATTTCATTGTAGGCTATAACTTTTGGATTTTTTTGAGGCAGTGGCTAATTCTCTGGTTTATTGGTGTATGGGAAGGAAGCAAGTACAGGGAGTTTTATAGGGAGCATGAAGGAAACAGAGGAAATGCTTGAGTTTTGTAAAGAGAAGGATTTAAGGTCAACGATTGAAGTGGTGAAGATGGATTATATAAACACAGCAATGGAGAGGTTGGAGAAGAACGATGTTCGATACAGATTCGTGGTGAATGTGTCCGGAAGCAAGCTTGATCTATAGAACAAACAAACTCCTTTAAAATGGAAATTTATAAATTATATTTTTATATTATGTGATATTGGAGTTTTAGTTTTAAAACTCTAAGAAGAGGAAATTACCTACAACAATTCATTTTCACCTGCAACTTCTAACTACTTACAACAACATCAATTAAATTAAAATTTACTAGCAACGTAAAATTCTTTTTACAACTCTATATATACTATTATTTAGAGCGTTAGTAATAGTGTATATATATATATGAAAATAGTTTATATTACATAGGCACCAAATGATGAAGTAAAAATGTGGTGAGTTTGGTGTCCCTAATATCTCCACTATAATGTTGGTAACGGATGGATGGGGTATCTTATCTCCTTGCTATCGTTGTAACTGATCTCGCTGTTTATTAGTCTTAATTTAACCGTCGCACAACAAAACATCCCATAACGGATAAGGCTATCTTATCATCTCGCTTTAGTGACAGTAAAACGTCATGTAATTGTCGGCATAAGAAAAATAAAAGAGTAAACTACATGCATAGTCACAAAACTATATGATTGTTTTATTTTGACCATCAATCTATGAATTCAATGAATTATTTTGATTGAAATCATTTTACTATTTTAATGATCTAATTCAAAAAATCTATAATTCAATGATCAAAATAGAATCATCCCTATAATTTAGTGACTATTCAAGTAGTATATCCACAGTAAAAAAATTAATTAAAAATTGTGACATAAAAACAAGACTGACTATTAAAAGTTTAACTATTTGGGTTTTGAGAGTTGCAAGGCTTTTCTTTCGTTCGTCCTGGGCGGTGGTGGTCGCCTCCACCACCGCCCTTGCTGATTCACGATTCTTCTGACTGCTTCTCTCAAGATCTCAAAAGCCCTTCACAGTGACGTTGATTCTCTTTTTGTTTTTTTGTTCTTTGTACTTGAGTTTGGTCGACCCAGCCCTGGTGTTTTTGGGGATTAGGTTTGTTTGGCTCTCGTCCCCAATTTTGCTACTCGATTGTTTGGGTGTCCTCTTCTAGCTTGGTGAGATCGTTTCTTTGTATATCAGTTGTGATTTTCCTGTTTCTATTTGATTGCTGGTTCGCGCTTGAGTTTTGGTTATTGTCTGAATTAGTTTTAGAGTTTTGAGTTTCTGCGTGAGTTTCCTGTCAGCTTATGGAATCAGATCGCGATAGTTATTTTTGCTTTTAAGCCGTTTGTGTAAATGCCATAATGAACCAGTTTTTGGCTCGTTTGATATTATTCAGTATGTGGGAGAGTGTTTCAGGTCTTTAGTCGGAATCTGGTTCATTGTTCGTGGATTTTCCTTCATTCACTCTTCATTGAGAAGGTTATGGCTGACAGTGGGTGCTTTGGTGAGGTTGTGAGTTTGTTTATGTCATAGAAGAGGAGTCAAGTAGACTCTAGGATTTGATTCGTTTTTGTCGTTGGTTATGCAAGTGTTGTTCTCTTGGATTAGCGTCTCTAGAAGTGCTTGAGTTTGTGCGTGTTTGTCCGGGGTTGTGGAGGTTTAAGGCTTTGGTCTGAAGGTTTTACAATGGTTTTTAGAGGAGCTGGAGTAGTTTCATGTATAGCATTTCAGTGTCAGCTTTTAGTAGGTTGTTTTTATTGTTAGTCTGTTCTGTTGTGGTTAAAGTTTAAGGGTGTTTAGCTGTTTTCTGGTGGTTATCTTTTTTTCTCGTTCTATTGGTGGGTGGTGTGGTTGTCTTGTGGCCTGTGCTGTGATGGATGCTGTCGGCTTGTGTTGTGGTGAGCTAATGTGTTTGATTGTGTGTTGGTGCTGCTGTTGCCTTGTGTTTGCCTTGGTTAGCTTTATGTTCTTTGGTGTTGCTCATAGTTCCTGTCCTCTGCCCGCTACTATGTGTGTGTATTGCCCGCTACTCTTTTAAGAAATGTGAAGATGGTGCCCTGAAAAGTGGGTTTCCCAAGGTGGCTGTCGGTATTTGTTTATTGGATGTACCCATAGCGTCGTTTGTGGGGTCGTCTCTTCTGTTGGTGGATGATAGCATGGGTTTAGAGTCAGCTTTTATTGGTTTGTCCCCATCATTCTCTAATAATTTTAGATTATTAGAAGTTCCAATAGTTGAAGTTTCAGCGATTCTTAGCAGACTGGTAGGAATTCGGGTGTGAAGCATACGGGTTTCTTTGTGAAAATTCATTTCATTTTAGGAGTTTTTAGCTCTGCCGTGGACTTGTTAGAGATCGGTGTTGCAGTTGGGAGTTTCTTTGCTGTATTGTTTCGTTGTTAAGCTTCACTTCACTGGTTCGCTGTATGCGTTTGGTTCTCAGTTAGGCTTTCTTCAATTTGTTCTGTATCCGGTTTCCAGTTGCTGGGGTGGCGGCTTCTCAAGCTGTTTTTGGTTCTTGTATGGGGTAGATTTTCGTTGATGTTCGGGTATTGGTTCTCCTGCATGTGACTTTGTATCTAGTAATCTATGATAGGTTACTTTGATAGATTACTGATCAATGGTTGGTTCGAAGAATGTAGTTGGGTTTGTTCTGTGCTTGGATGTGTGTTGGTCATTTTCTATATTCTAATCAGGGGGCAGTATGTAGCTAATTAATTGTAGCTACTTACGGGCTGTGTTAGTAGCGTTGTTTTCGGCTTGTGTTTTGTTTTAATAGGGTTCATGTTTGTATCTTTCTTCCATCCCTAGGTTCACTCTTTTTCTTCCACTTAGGTTTAGGAGTTTTTTTTAATGAGGTCCTAGGGTGGTGTACTTTGATTGCTAATACAAAGTACCCATTTTACAAAAAAAAAAAACTTTAAAAAATTAACAAGTTAGGATCGTTAAAATTGATATAATAACAATCTAACTTTCAACTTTTATACTTGTTTTCTTAAATGAAAAAGGGAGGCAAACTAGTAGTTGGCATTGCAAATGTTTGCCATCTTTTAGTATATACTTAATCGTGTGTTTGAATGGTAAGTTCTATGGAATAAATGCTTGGGTTCATTGCTAACATTCCTACGCTTTCCTTAACTGTAAAAAAATGTTCTGCGGGCAGTATCATCATCATAACAATTTTAAAGGATTTGCGTTCAGCACTCGTCCTAATTCCAACCATAATCAATATTTTTATCCTATGAAGAAATGAGGATTAAACATAAGGTATAGTGTGAACAGTGACTACCGTTCTGCTATGACCAGCATTTTTGTTCCTCTCACATAACGAGTAAAAGACAATTTGCTATGATGATATCAACTTGGAAATATTATCGAACATTGACGCCGACAAGAGTAAGCTTCAATAATAGGAGCTCCATAGTTTAGAGCTTTTTTTGCTAAACTAATCAAACACCATTTGCACATATCCAGGGCATCACCAGTGGTGAACTTGCCTGAATCAACACCAACAGACACATCAAACTCACATACATAAGCACGCACGCAAATAAAAAAAAACGTTTTACACAGCTCATCAATAATTGACACAATGCATCGAATGGTGAAATTATCATCTAAACACAGCCCACGAGTATTATTAAAAGAAAAGGAGAGATCTCATAAACTATGATTTCTCAGATAGAAGAACACATACATATTAATAAGAAAACAAAGGGTCAAAATCATTACATTTCAAATAGCTCCATTTGATCAATCATCTTGAACACTGAAAACTCATTTCTCTAACCTAATTCATTTGGTTTTAATTTCTGCTCCTGATGGTAAGAAAAAAACATGAAGAAAGACTAGAAAGGCTTCTTCGAGTGAAGGTTACCTTTTCTTTATCATCTCCTCTTTTAAAATTTTGCCGCATTTCTCCCTTTTACATGTATGCAAACCATCAAAAGCCACCTAACATTGATCCTGCCTCCAAACTAGTCTCCGATCTCACATTTGGCATATCATACCCTCTGGCTAAAATATATATTCATAAAATATCTCGAAGGATTGAAGCCACTTAAAATCACTGCACAATAGAAGAAGTTTGTTTACGGCTTAGCTATGATCCCATGCCAAAGCAGAACTAGATATAAAGTCGAACACTTACAGATAGGCGATAAAACGATTATGACACCAATTGGGTAGAGGAAAAAGGTTGTTCTCTCCAGAAAGGGAAGTACTGTAGTATAATAGATATGCCAGTTCCCAAAGGTAATAGTAATTAGCCACTTCTTCGGGAAGTTCCATAGCCAGAAAAGAAAAAAAGATGGGCTAGTCACCAGATGGATAAAAGATAAAGGGCATGCAGATAAGCTTACCATCATAACCTAAAAAGTTGAGGTAGTGATAGTAAGAAGCTGCCACCATGAGAAGCAGATTCGACAGGAGTTCAGGGATAAACCCGTGGGCTACCAGAAGAGGTGACAGAAAATAATGAATTACTGCCAAAACAACAACATTAGTCGCATCTAGATCCCTTTAAATTGGAAATTACAAACAAAAGTGACAAACACGCATTAATCACAAAATTACCGTAAAGCATTACAAACATTGGGAAGAAAGAATTGCAGTGCACATCAAATGCATACAGCCTTCAAACAAAGGAAAGCTACAGTCAGCACCACACAATTATTTTAGATACTAATATTCACAAGCTACTCTGCAGAAAGCAGAAAGCAGAAAGCAGAAAGCAGAAAGCAGAAAGCAGAAAGCAGAAAGCAGAAAGCAGAAAGCATTGATGATCCGGATCTATCAATTAACAACCAAACCAGTATAAACAGCTCACACAAAAAGAGATTAAATTTCTGCAAAAATAGGAAGAAGTCTTCAGACTTGCCATTCAACCCGTTGTTCCACAACATGACTATTTGGAGCCTCTTCCCGAAGGTAAGCATTTGTCAAGAACCTGCATGTAGTAAGAAAATAAAATTCACCACCGAACAAGTGCCCCTGTGCCAGCCATGCTAGCATGAAATTAATAATACATATAACTTCAGCTTTTATCTCATTCAATTTTTTATCTGTAACAGAAGCTTAAAGCCTTCAGCTATGTTTGCATTGTTACATTTGTGGCAGAAGCTTGCAGCATCTCATATACATGCTCACACTTGTGTTGGAGTTATTAATACTTTTTTTTTTCTCATTGGAACAAGCATAAGCAACGTGTATAAAACATAAAGGCTTATATAGCCTCCATATAAAGTTAAATCAATGTAGATTTTGGCTAACAATTCCTTGGGATATCCCAAGCAGTCAGAGTAACTCTTAAGTAAAATGTAATGACAAGTTTGATCTCCCTCCTTTGATAAGACTAATGTAAGACAACAAACCGCTACAGCCTATTCCACAACTATAACTACATTCCTATTATAAAAGCAGTGAAACATTTCTGGCATTAGGCTGCAGCCTCAGACCTAATTAAAAGAAGCAACAATCATAGCACAGAACAGATATATGCCAATATCCAAAAGCAACTGAGCCTTCAGAAAGAATGACAGGCACTAACATAGTAATGCATATAACTATAGCTTTTATCTCATTCAATTTTTTATTGGTGACAGAAGCTTAAAACCTTCAGCTATTTTTGCATTGTTACATTTGTGGCAGAAGCTTGCAGCATCTCACATATATTCTTACTGTTTTGTTGGAGTTAGTAATAAGTTTTTTTCTCATTGGAACAAGCATAAGCAACAAACGTAAAACATAAAGACTTATATAGCCTCCATATAAAGTTGAAACAAAGTAGATTTTGGCAAACAATTCCTTGGGATATATCAAGCAGTCAGAGTAATTCTAAGTACAATGTAATGACAAGCTTCATCTCCCTCCTTTGGCAAGACTAATGTAAGACAACAAACCGCTACAACCTATTTCACAAACATAACTACATTCTTATTATAAAAAAGTGAAACAGTTATAGCATTAGCTGCTTCCTCAGACCTAATTAAAAGAAGCAACAATTATAGCATAGAACAGATATATGCCTTATTTCCTAAAGCAGCTGAGCCTTCAGAAAGAATGACAGGCACTAACTTAATTTATGCAGCTTTCCAATATAACAAATAGGTATTATCAGTATGTCTGCTACACGCCAATTTGGAGCTAACAGTTAAGATATTACTTTAAGAGATACTAACTCCCGTTTGAAAACAAATAGACACTGCCCCTTACCAACAACATGTAGCCAGAGTTACTCCAGTTAGTAAAAAATGGAAAAGCAATACTGAAATAACTACAAAAACAGCATGTGCAGCACTGTGATCATACCTGCATTAGAGAGAAGACAGAAAAACATTACAATGGCTAGGTCAACAATATATCCAGCAGTTCAGTGGAAAAGGAAGAGGTAAAAGAAAATAATTCCATTAGCATTCTTATAGAATCCAAATATGTTGGTACATTATTGCGGCCATGATATTACTCTACTTGGCAGAACTTAGCACCCACATGATGCAGCCCCAATCATATTGCTTAAGACTACAAAAGATCCAAGGCTTTCTATAAATTCCACACAAGAAATCTTACAACAAAGACACCATACAAATATAAATACAATAAGCATGCCAATGTGAGATCGATAAAATTGAATCTAAGATGAATAATTCCTAATCAAGCATATAAATCTAAAGCAAGGACCATTTTTAAAGTTCCAATGCCTAATCATTTTCTTTATATGCAGTCATGTTTGGAAATGAAAAAAGAAACTTACGCAGCACAATAAGCTACTGTTGCAACTGCCAAAAGAAGGCTACAGATTACAACAAAAGCAGGGTCGTCGCGTGCCCACTGGTTCTTGGTTTCTGAACGAAAAAGACAAATAAAAAAATATCTAGTTCATTAGATGATGGAAAGAATCTAATAACATCACACCTTTAACATGTTAGTGGAACACAAAACTTAAAACCCCAAAAGGAAAATAAGAAAAACTATTTTGACACATTAATTTTAAAGCTAAACCCAGTTTGCAACTCTTAGCAACTTATGGGTGCTTTGTGTTTCTAATTTCTTTCATATGGTGGGGAGACAAAAAGGCACAGAAAAGTCACCTAATAGATGAAAGCACATCCCAACTGCATTGACACTCAGTTAACCACTTGATAGGGTGAAAGCCAGTTGAATGTATAGAACACAATTTATTGTAGGCATAGACCAAAGGATGATGACACTTATAAAAAAATAGCACATGCAATGCAGAAAAATGATTCAGTAGTATATGCATTACCACTTGATAGCGTACAAGTCATTTGAAAGACAACTATATTTGCAGTCAGTATATCTATAGGAACAAAAGTAGCATGCCGTGATTGAAAACATTGCTGCTATTAGTTAAGTACTGAAAATGGGCATAAATGAAAAAAGTCAATTAAAGAGAAATGAACTTACGTTTGTGATATTTAGTGTGCTGATAGCTGCATCCACCATAGAAAATCGTATGCACAAGAACAAAAATAATTAGAAAAGAACATTTCAACACTCAAAAAGCTTCTTTGTGCATATAATCCCTTTACTCCAAAAAAGAACAAATAAATAAGCATGCACAGAACCAAGCAATTGCAAGTTTCCGGTACCAGATACAAAATACAGCAATCTGTCACAATATTATGATCTCTACCAAACAGACAACATACATGAAAAGAAATAATACCATTTTCTGGATCAAAAATGAATAAATAGCAAATGCTCAGAATTCTTTTGTGATAAAGAGGATTACAAGCTCAAATTTCATCTCAAGACTCTCTCAAAATGCATCTAGTGGAAACAATGAGGACTAAACTATCAGTCAGCAGAAAATGAGCGTCAATATAGGTATTTTTCTTCAATTCCTGGCATCATATGAATTTAGCAACTAGTAACCGAACGATGATTATAATATGGGACGACAGGAAAAACAAGTTGAATTATGATAAGGGGTCAGTAGTATACTTACACGACCTTTGGTGCAGTACACAGATGAAGCATTTGCCAGAATGTATATTCAATATCCATTTGTTGCCACTACACAAACCAACAAAGCTTCACAATCAGATGAAGCAAGCCATATACTTCAAAGATGATGCTGTAGAAATGTGGTGATAATACCATAATACATTCTAAACCAAGTTGATCAAATATTTTGTTTAGCTGGAATTCAAGTTTAGCATAATATTTCGAATATAAATACATGAAACTTTTCAAATTATGTCATTGAAGCAATGGAAATTTAACAGCTTAGCTTACACAGAGCTATATCTGAAAAGGTAGGAATTTAAATTATACAAAAAATCAGTTAGGAGATTAAACTACTCAAAACTTAACAAACAATACCGTGAGTGCTTAAATTTAACTTGACAAAGACATACATCAAAGTCAAATTGTTCATTTTATTAGAAAATTACCACTTAATTAGTAGGAATTGAATTTGAAATGGTCCAGGCTATTACACAGGAATCACTAAATGGATCCAAAGTCTTATTACACACAAACCAGTTAATTCTCTTCTCATTATTTCACCGGCATTGAAATTATAATTTAATTCTAGATTTAACATTAATAAATGTATAACATTGCTGTTTAAATTCCAAATAAGCATTGGAATTAAGAACAAGAGCAAATCTCCGAATTCACGGATTTAACATTATTTCTCCCTGATTTCAAATATTAGCAGCCACTAAATTTTAAAATTAGAATAAAATAATAAATAAATAAACATTGGAAGGTAAATCTGTGAATTCCATTCAATCAAGAACAAGAGCTAAGATATAACATCAACTGGCAGAAAAGTGGATAAAGGAAGCAATTTTTCCTAATTGCATCAAGATTCGAACATTTGGAATGGAAATTAGATGAAAAAGAAGATCAGATCCAGAGATAGAGAGATAGAACCTTGACAATTCGACGGAGGTACTGAGGGAACATGGAGTCCGGTCGAGATGTGGAGGGCGACGAATGCGTTTTGCTCACCGTTGGTAACATATTCCCTTTTTGTTCTTCCTTCTTGTTCTTGCTTGTTCAATTTGCTTCTTAAAGATCTGTGGGATCCCTTCCTTGTTTTCCCTTTTACAGATCTGCGTCTCTCGATCTCACATGAGATGAGAATACGAAAGCGTAAAAACGACGACGACTGTATTTCTCTCGGTCCCAGGCTCTGACTAGGCACCTGCCTCTATTCCATATCATTTAACATGGAATCTTTTACAGAGATCTTTCAACTTGGGCTAACACAACCAACCCAATTTTCCTTTCCTAACGGGTTTGACTCCAAATGCCCAATTAAATTAATCACACCACTCAATTATTTAAATAATTTAATCAAACCGTCTGCCATTAATATTTAACAAAATAGATGATGTGACAATTATAATTATATAATTAATCTCTATTACTTATATATTTTTTAATTTTAATTACAGTAAATTAAAATAAATTTAATTATCAAATATTCTTTTAATTTTAATTATAGTAAATTAAAATAAATTTGAGATGCCAAATCAACACAATAAGAGAAAGCCAGAAGAATTGAACCCGGGACTTCTAGGTAAAATTGAATGAGCCAAACCATTGAGTAAAGCTAACCATTTGATATGTGTTTGACAACAAATTTAAAGAATATAAAATAATAAGATATTTTACCGTTAAAATATAAGAATAAAATAATAGTAAATATATTTTAACTTATTAAATAATAAGAATAAAATAAGATACAAATATATCTTAACTTAAAAGTTAAGAAAATAATAAGATACAATAAAATAAGAATAAAATATATTTTAATATATATTATATCGTAATTTAAAATAAGAATAAAATATATCTTAACTTCAAATTATATTTTAATATATTTTTAAAAGTTAAGATAATAATAAAATATATTTTTAATTTTAAATAAGAATAAAATATATTTTTAAGTAAATATAATAGTAATATATATTTATAATAAATTAATAATAAAATATTTAAATATATTTTAAGTTAAGATATTTTAAAAATATATTTTTTAAGTGATGATAAAGATAAAATATATAATTTTACATTAAAATAAAAATAAAAAAAATTAGATTTAATAAGTTTAAAAAATAAAGATAATTTTAAAATTTAAGATATATAAAATATTATTAATTTTGAGTAAAACATTTGCATACTAAGGTACAATATATATATATATATCATTTGTTGTAAAAACATTCCAAATGATTGCTTTGGCTTAATGGTTTGGCTTCTCTTATTCCGGCTAATGATCTCAAGTTCAATTCCCCCTTATCCTTTTATTCTATGGATTTGTTTTCTTTTAAATAGAGGGTGACACATGTCATGATAGATGTCACCAGTGATACATGACACCTCTTGATTTGATGATTAAATTTATTTTAATTTGTTATAATTATGACCAAATTAAAAGAATATATACATAATAAGGACTAATTGTGTAATTATACCAAAATATTTTAACTACCACGTCACCTACTTTGTTAAATGTTAATGGATGGTGGCTTGATTGAATCATTTAAATAGTTGGATGGTCTGATTGATTCAATTGAAACATCGACGGTCAAAATGATTTTTTTACCATATTTGAGTGGTTACTCGTATAGTTTACCCTTAAATTTATAAACACGTTTTTATAAACCAATTACCTAATTTTTTAATAAATATGTTTAACTTTATCAAGCATAAATATTAGAGTTAATTGCATTATACATCAATCAAACTATGATCCTCTTTCTAAATTAGTTTCTAAACTTTTAAATGTTTCAATTTCATCCCTAAACTATGATTATTATTCTAAATTTGTCCTCAAACTTTTAAACATTTTATTTTCATCCCAAACTATATCCTTCATTATAAATTAGTCCTAAAACTTTTTCAACATTTCAATTTCATCCCAAATTATATGTATATACTAATCGTATTCCATTTTAATAAAATAGTTTAGCCAAGCTATATTATTATATGTTTTTAAAAAAATAACGTTTAGGTTAAACTTTGGTTAAAACTAATTACATATTTGGATAATTTGGGGGAAATTGAAAGCTTTAAAAGTTTTGGGGCCAATTTAGAATGAGGTTTATAGTTTAAGGATGAAATTGAAATGTTCAAAAGTTTAAGGACTAATTTAGAATGAGTATCATAGTTTGAGGATGAAATTATAATATTCAAAAGTTTGGGAACCAATTTAGAATGTGAATCATAGTTTGAGGATATATGATGCAATTAACTCTAAATATTATATTCAAATGTTATAATAATTAGATTACATTATCGGACTAATCTCCACACCATGAAATAAAGAGTAGATTAATGTCTTTTTTTTCACTACTCTTCAATCCCCCAGACGCAACCGTCGATTTTTACTTTCTGCAGTAGCAGAAGTAGTTTGTGTTTGGAAAGTGATGAGGGTCAACGTTTTGAATGATGCACTCTCATGATCAGGCATTTCTCAAAAGTGATCATCAAGTTCTGTTTGGTCATGCAGAAGTATGGTTACATTAGAGAGTTTGAGTATGTTGATGACCACAAAGATGGTAAAATCGTGGTTGAATTGAACGAAAGGCTTAATAAATGTTCAATCCTCGTTTTGATATAGGAGTGAAGAAGATTGAGGGTTGGACTACTAGGTTACTTCTTTCTAGACAATTTGGGTATATTGTGTTGACTAAATCTGCTGGAATAATGGACCATGAGGAAACCAGAAGAAAGAATGTTGGTGAAAGGTGTTTGGCTTCTTCTATTGAGGGATTTCATCATGCTTAGAACTTTAAGAATGATGCGTTTTAAGGTTATTTGGGAATGGATAGTTAGTCGGTCATCTAGCTTATGATGGAGATTTTCAATCAGTAATTGTTACTTCCTTTTACATTAAACAGTTTGAATTATTTTTTATTTCAAAGTTAAGTAATTCTCTTGAAATTTTGTTCTAAAAAGAGTAGATTAATCTTATTGTACCTCTGCACGATCTTTTTCGGAAGTCATATCTCTATGATTGTTCCTCTGTCAATTGAATGTTGAGACTTTGAATTTTTTTTAAATCTTTGGAGTTTCATATCATGCATTCTTTCATCCATCGAGCATTGAGACCTTTAGAATTTCTTGAAGCCTTCGAAACTTTATACCCTTCGAACAGTTATCACTGTTAGGCTCATGTGTCTACAATATATTGTCTTACAGCCAGACCTATTTAACATGTCGACCCACTAAACGCCATAATCATCCTGGATCTGACACCAATATTAGAGAATAATATATGTCATTGAAGAATATTGAAAAGAAGGGGTATCTCTCAGGCTTAATCTCTCAATATCTGATACGCTCTTGAATGATGAGTTGTTAAGATTGTTTGAAGTGTCTCGATCGTAATCAAAAAAGCAATCTCTTAAGATAATGATGTATGATAAAAGGATATAGTGTTATAATATTGAAACGGTAATTATCGGCAAACAAATAAACACGATCGAAAAAGAAAAACAAAGAACACCAAGATTTACTTTGAAAACCCAAAAGGCAAAAACCACGGGCATAAGAGAAGAATTTCACTAATATGAAATGATTGCTTGTGAATGTATATGCTAAGGCAAGCAAATCTATGCAAGTGTACATAATCAATGCAAGTAATATAATAGTAGGTTGAGTTATCATCTCCTCAGGGATTGGTGGGAATTTTTTATGTTTTGCTACAGCTAGAACTAGATGTCACGAGCTAGTCCTGAAATTCTTGTTGAAAGAGAAAACAATTAGTATTAGAGGATATAAACATATGGAAAAGTATTGTCAAGGCAAGAAATATTGTGAAGTATGGTGTGCAGAAAAGTTTGGTCGAGGCAAGGAAAATTTGCAAGAGTAAACAAATAAAAATTGTCAAGGCAAATAGAAACGTCGAGTTTAATATATTTAGGAAAAATCTCACACAATCAAACTTCTTACGGAGCACTTAGGTTGGTTTTGCTATGGCGAGAAGTTATTCTATGTCTAGAATGACTTAGTGTGCTATGCTTAGGTTGCCCAATAGGATTATTGGAGTATTCAAGGATGGTTGCTACGACAATGCTACTCGGCGTGAACTACAACCCTTGGTTTGTCAAACTGTTGATGTGGTAATACCCCTCAGTGTAAACTACAGTCTTTGCCTATTATACTCAAGTAGTTACCTCTTTTAGTCGAATGAAACCATCTCCTTATTTATAAGGCGGATTAGAACCTTACCATCCCAGATTAGTTTTCGTTGTTCACGTAGATATACCCTAACTCTCTCGATATTAGGCATCTATTCCTAGAAAAATGGCAATCTCTCGAAAGCTCTTACATAGTCTAGGAATATTTTGCCGAGGCACCAGACAATTTCTCAAAAGCTCTTATAGTGTCAAGGCAAAATATTAAAATAATGAACAAAACAACATTAAGCATAAGTAAAATTCATCATTCATTAACATTTAAATAATGTTTCATCAAAACAATAACCAACACCAACTAAAATAGTTCATGGTGTGGAAAATGTCATCCAAAGTTAAACATTCAGTACAAGCCCTTTAAGCGAAATAGAAAGTAAGAACAAAGGAAGAAACACTCCCAAAAAGAGCTCTATCGTGACATTCTGATCACCACCATGCCTGCTCCAGCGACTGACCTCTCTTGAGGGCCTGGCCGTTGCTCCGATGAAGCTTGGCTATGGAGGGCACCAAGGACGGTCAAGTGGGGGAACAATGGAAAATAAATTATTGAAGCCTCTTACTCCAAGCCTAGGGTAGATCCTCTCCTTGATTGTCTTTCTTTTTGGAGAGCTATAATTAGGTATTTATAGTGGGAATTTCTAGGGTTTTATGTCCTTGGAAATTCCCTAAATGCCCTCGTTGACTTACCCACTTTATGAATGATATAGTAGCTAGAAGAGGTTAATTTCCTTGATGAAGACATGATTGCACGTGAGGATGAAGCTGGGCAAATGACGTCAGTAGTTGTTGAGACACGTCGAATTTGCAAGATTAATCTTGCCTCGGTAAGAAAAATATGTTCGTCATTGTCGTCTTCTTATGTTCCTCTAGCCCTGGGAAATTATTTTGTCTTGGCAAATAAATTCTTCCTTAGTTATTTCCTGCATCAATACAACCAACAAAGAACATTCCTCCTCAACAGCATCAGTTAAGCAAATTGAATAATGTAATATAAAGAAATTGGCTACAAGGAAAAGAGATGGTAAGTAAAAGTAACGAAATTGAATAATGGAATATAAAGATGAAGTAAATATTATTTTTCTTTAAAGATGAAAAAATTACTCTCTTGTCTCTTTAAACTTTTTCTTTCTTTTTTTCGAATTTCTTTTATTTTTTTGATATTTTACCTTATTGAATCTGCTCGCTCTAATACCAAATGATATGATCTCGATTATGAGTTCAGATTTATATATGAGTGTGCCCGATCATGATTCTAGTAAGAACTTCACAGTGCTTTGATTGAAGACTGAAAATGCATAAATAACATTACAAGAAGGGAAATATGTATATATAAATATGCATATGAAAGTAATGGAAATGATAGAATAAAGTTGAAGTGGATTGTAAATGAAAGAAGTGTGGTGGTGATAATGGTTGAATGGATGTAATGAAATGGTGAAGGATGTTTATGGTTGGCATGGAGAATATAGTAATTCAAAGGATGGATTGTGACCCTCTAACTATATATGAGTTAGGAACCAACAATATAATAAAGTGGAAAGGTAGACGTGGTAGGATATGGAACGTGACCCACTAGCTATAGATGGGAACCAACACTATAACAAAAGGGAATGGATGAAGACTACAAGACTATCTTGAAGATAATAAAGTTCTACAAGATAATAAAATGAAAGAAACTTCTCAAATATGTTTTATATATTCAAACGTGTGTCTAAAATGATCCCAAATATGCCTATTTATAGTATTTATAAGCAGCATATGAAAAGACTCAAAAGATGAAAGCATTATCATCAATTTAACAATAAAATGCACTTGAATGTTTTGTCTTCTTATCTTCAAGGTTGGTTGAATATTCTAGATCATTTTGGGGATAAATCTAGACAATTTAAAACTGAATTTGGCCTTAATTTCGTCCAAGGGGTGGAAGACTCTTGCTATTCCATGATGGAAATTATCTTAATAAGTGAATTAAATCAGCCTTGATTGCTTGCTCCCTTGAAGAATATGAACATCCCTTGAATTTAGATCATAACAATCAGCTTTGAATGCCTTGAATGTGTGAATTAAGAGTCCTTCAATGGCTTGTCACTTGGCTGAAGTTGAAAAGACTCTCCCTTGGCTCAAACTCATCCAAATCATTCATGTATAAAATTCCCGTAACAAAATTCCAACCTACATTGTCTTCAATAAATCGATCATATCTCATGCTCCTGATATCAGATTGAGGTAATTCAAATGGTGTTAGAAAGCTAAGAGATAGAGGAATGACGCACATTTGATTTCTGGAACCAAACACGTCTGTATCATATCCAGAATTGGAAGACATTCTGACTGACATTCTTGTATCTGATGAAACCGTTCAACTTCTCTCGTGCACCTAGACACAAAGGTAAACTTTATTCAATCTTTAATTGAAAACATGCATGAAACAAATTAAGAGTTAGTTTAATAAATGAACTAGTTTGATGAATGAACTAGTTTAATTAATGAACTAACTTTATTAAATAAACTAGATGCATGAATGAAGTAGCTTACTAAATGATCTAAAGGCATAAATGAACTACTTCCCTAAATGAACTAGATGATTTAAATGCAATGCATGCTTAAATGAACAACACACTTATTAAATACAATGAATGTTATGCAAACTTCAAATTCTCATGCAAATTCATGCATAAGCAACGTAAAGTGTTCCTCCATTATTATTAATCATTTCTCACGTCCCAAGCTTGATGTAAACATCTCTCCATGGCTGCTTAAAACTCCTTAGCCCTTGATCGTGTGATGGGGCCACTTGGGTACTTCTCCAGGTCTTTACTATTGGCGATCATATCACTATAAGAAGAACGCTCGCCTTTTATTCTACAGTCTGAGCTAGTCGATTCATGCACCACGAGACATTCTGCTTAAGGCTCGAAACCAGATACAAGATGCTTTATCTTATCAAACGAGTGTAAACCATTGTACACTTCTTCAAGAGTGAGTGTTTCGCGATTGTAAAATAGTGTATCTCTGAAAGATAAGTATGAAGAAGACAACTAACATAAGAGGATCAATCATAAATCTTCTTGGCTATACTTCACTTCTAAAGTCTCAAGACCAAAGATAGTTTCCTTCGAATGCGGTCAGGTGCTCTTCAAGAGATGAATCTTCCACCAACTTGAGTGAATAAATATACTGCTTTAAGTGCAACTTGTTGGTCAACGATTTATGCATGCAAAGTTGCTCCAATTTCGCATACAAAGAAGCATCTATTTTTTTATTTCAACACATCCTGCAAGATTTGATTTGATAAGTGTAAACGAACCTTACGTTTTTCCTCATTTTTCCATTATATTACTGACTTCTCATCAAATATTTTATTGCATTGTCAAGATTAATTGTGCAAGAACATTCCAAATCTTCACTTTCCATAACAAGAACCTGATATTTCGATTCAATAACAGAAGGTCATACTTCATTGTTGTCATAATATTAAACTCGAAGCTCTGATACCAAATAAATACAATCGAAAAATAAAAACAAAGAACATCAAGATTTACGTGAAACCCAAAAGGGAAAAACCACGGGCAGAGGAGAAAAATTTCATTCATATGAAGGAAGAAAATATAATATAATTTTAGTGAAAGAAAAACTTAATATTTAAGCCTTACCTTTAGTATCTATTTATAGGGATATATACTTGATTACAAAAGAAAATTAAATAAAGTAGAAATCTACTTTAATAAAATTATCTACTTTTAATCAAACTTGGTTTCCCACTTTTCTAAATTTATATATTAATTTGTACCACTTTAAATTCGACTCAAACTCTAACATAAATAAATTAATGTTAAGAAAGAAGAAATGAGATGTTGGCATGTAGGATAAGCATAAGTTTTAGAATGATGAATTTAGAGGATATAGTATATGATATGATGTGACAAGAGATATAAACGTGTAGATTATGATAATAGGGTGATATCATAATGGTTTAGGAATGACGAAAGACAAATAATTAAGGATAAAGAAAGAACAAATAGATAGCAGGGAATTAAATATGAATAAGGAATGATGGTAGTATACTATCCTTATGTGTAGAATCTAATTAATCTGATCTTCATATATTTCGTGTTATATACGGTATTCAGGATGAGATTTTGTAATGTTACCATGAGCAAACCTAGTCCAGAAGTCCATTTACTCATTCGAAAAACCTATTCAATGAATAAAGGTTTAATAAAAAAGATACGAGTTGTTAATGTTAAAATGTAAACCATATGCCTCTAGCAAGATCTATTTGATGGCCAGCTGAGTTGAGATTACAAAATTAATACCACTAATAACATTTAACCTAGAGTTAGTTTGTGTTCATAACTCATGAATGATAAATTCTGAATGTCTTTTCGATCCAATTATGTGTAGCGTATATTACTTCTCTAATCTAGTTACCAAGTGAGAATCTTGTACATTTGTTGTCTCAAAATTGAGTTATCAGCAACAGGTCATATAATGAGTATAATATTAAAATAATTAATATTAGACAATTTTCTAGTTTGAGCTCACTTGCCGGGCTCTACTTGTCTCTCTCTTTGTTCATTATCATTATTTCCCCCACTCACTTATTGTAGGCAGGGTAGTGGTGGATCTACATGGGATATAGGATGGATACATGTTCATCCTAAAATTCAAATTTCTTTATTTTAATTGCTCATTTAGTGATAGTATCCACATTAAAATTTATTTGTATACCTCTCATACAAAAACATTTTGTTATTAATATATATGTAATTACTTATTTCTAGACTCGCCACTAAATAGGTGTATTCAGGTGGTTAAGTGTGACAAAAGGAATAGGATTGGGTTTGTAGATGTTCATTTTGTCTGGGGTTTCATTTGAGTTTTGCTTGTGTTTATGTTACATTATTATTAATATATGGGTGTGTATAAAATTATGTAGGGATTACTTATCAATAATTATTTATGGGTGTGGCTATATATATTATTATGGGGATATTTGAACATTATTATGAGTGTGATTGGGCATGTGATTTAATGACCTAATAATTATTTATGCGTGTAGAGAGCACACTCGTCACTCCATTGCCATCCAAGCTTATACTCACATACCAACGTCTCAACCTCCTTGGATTGTACCAGTAAGAAAAAAATAACAACTCTAGTACAAAGGGGAGCATATTCCTTTTGCCACGCAGAGCCGCTAGCAGTGCATGCAAAAACAAAAAGAAAAAACAAAAAATATGAAAAGGGGAATGCATTCATCAACAAAAAAGGACCAGAGGAGCAATAAAAAAACAGAGCAAAAATATCACCTGGACCTTTTTTTCTTCTAAAAAACAAATAACCTAAAAGAAACACAACCAAGTAAAAAAGGGTTATCGTACCACAACAAGGGAACTAAAAAAAGCTTCTATTTTTATGATTGAAGAGCAATCGAGTACCCAGAAAACACTAAAGAGAACTCCGAAAAGGAAGAAAACACTTACCTTTTATGTGTGAAAGGGGTCGTCGCTGCCGTCTGGAGTCAAAATCTCCCTAAATCGAAGGTAATATATTCTCGGTGTCCTATGTAGGAGGTGGGGTTAGAGAGTTTTTTAGGGATCTTTGATTGGGGTTTATTTTAGGGAGAGTTTAGGGCTCCTTGGTTTATCGTAGGAGTCCTGGGGGGCGAGTGGAAGAAATGAAAAGAAATAGAGGGAAAGAGTAGAGAAAAACGGCGGAGTGAAATCCTTAGAACCCGTTTGGATTAAGGATTTGATGATTCCCGACAAACATATTTTTTTCTTGATTAAGGATACCCATGTTTGGTTGGGTAAGATTCCCAAGTGAGGGTAATATTTCAATACCAACAGTATATGTTGGTGTGTTTATTCCTAGGAATGTTATTCCCACATGTGCGTTAGGTATTCTTTTATTCCAGTGCTAAGGGCCAAAATACCCTTCTTTTCCCCGTTTGTCTTTGCAATATCTTATTCTCCCCTGTGAGTTTGCCTCTACGAAAAATTCATCGTTTTCCCAGTGAGATTCTCTTGGTAAGATTTCTTCTCCTCTCCCTTTCTTTTATTTTCCCAGCAATGAGAGAAACTTTACCTTGCCTCTGCGATATATTCTTCTCCCCGCCAGCTTTTGTCTTGTGAAACCACCATTAGTCCTTCTATCAAACTCAACTCTAAGCCCGTGAGTTATTGTTATCATTTTGTTATCTTTACAATTTTTTACTTGTTTAATTTTTCCAGAAAAATGGTTTCGGGTAAGGGTTTATCTTAATCTAGTACTGTTTGGTCGAAATCATTTTTCCAGAAATCTGGGTTTCATTTTATATGAAATATGGGTTTGTTATGTTTTTTATTTTCGTTCGTGTTATATGATTCTATGGCTCCGTTTCTAAAAGTTTCTACGTTTTTCTTTTTAGAAGTTGCGTTTGATTGGAAAATCGTTCAACACATTCTTCTTCTTCAATTGAGGTACAATTCAGCAACTGACGACTGGAACGACGTCACAACTAAGCTTTCCAATCTCCCCTTTTGCCCACTATTTTAGAGGCTTCTTAAATACCAGGTTTGAAGTATCAGTTGAAAGATTCCTCAAAGTTTTGGGATTAGTAACAGTGCCTCTGAATATAAATTGATTCTTGTTAGTCCATATACACCAGAGAGTGATGATGCCAATTTTTTTACTACATGGAGTTTTATAACCCGGTCTTTTTTCTGTTGCTATACTGTCCCAGTATAAATTATTATACTTTCATTAACTGTGTGTTACCAATTTGATTTTTGAAAGCCTTTACTTGTAGAGTTATGTTTGGTTGTGTTTATAGTTAAATGAGAGTCTCTCTGGCTCTGTTTTTAAAAAGTTGTATTCTTTTTTCGGTTGTGTTTGGTAGAGAAATAGGTAGATGGGAAAGAAAAAACATGGTGATGATGCTTCAATACCGATCGAAATTGATTCTTCGGATCCTGTTATTCCATTCTTTACTTCTTCTATTCTCCCCCACCCCCTTTATTTCCTTTGTTTCTGTTGTTCATTGATTTATCAATCAGAGACCTGTTTGGTTGGTTTTTATTATTATTTGATTTTTGTTTTGAAAATATTGAAAACAAATGATGTGTGCGATTATAAAGCTATATTTGGAAGAATTATGCACCAAATATTTAACTTTTCAATGAAAATATCAACTGTAATTTTCTATTAAGATTAATTATATTGTAATTCTGTATCTCCCTTTCTTTTCTTTTATTTTTTTTTTCAGAGCCCCCACCATGCATTTGTTGCAATTCTTCAAAAAAAAATTAAAATGAATGGCAATAAATGAGAATGAAGTAATTTGATTGCTCTTCTGCTTTACTTATATAGAAGTATTGTAGAATTTTAAATTACACCTTGCCAGCATTTCACTGTTACTTATTATCATTATTATTATGAACTGAAAATCAGAGCTGATCGATAAATAGAATTTTGATCCTAATCATTATGTCGTGGCAGCGTATAATGGGTATCTAATTTTGAAACACCGTTCATGTTGGATTCATGTTGTAGGGTTTGAGGGGAACTGGAAAGAAGATAAGTAAACAGGATTCTCAAAAATTACGGGGCTTTAAATTAACTGCTCCATGTTTTTTTAGATAGTATTCCATGTCGTGCCATATCAAATAGACGAGCTAAGAGCAGGAATTCGATATCTAAACTAAAAAACAAGCTAGACTTTGGATCATTTGAGTGTTACTTAGGGTAAGCTATATGGTATTGTAACAAGTGTTCTTTTCTCTCTCCCTCTATTTTCATTTTGGAAGTTTTCTGAATGCTTTTTAAAATTTTCAGGACTATATGGAGCCGCTTCCCTGAGGATAAGCGGGCTTTGTTTATGTACTTAGATTGTCAATGGTTTGCATGGTATAGGAAAGCGTCTTATTGAGAAAAGGTTCTATCTTGGATTAAGAAGAAGCAGATATTTTCGAAGAAATATGTTCTTGTTCCTATAGTTTGCTGGTTAGTATTCTCTATATCATGGTTTTAAATCCCTTGTTCGATTGTCAGTAAATGTGACTTCATCATTTGAAACTGTATTTCTTTAGGGATCATTGGAGCCTCTTAATCTTGTGCCATTTTGGTGAAAGTTTGCAATCTAAAACCAGAACACCATGTATGTTGTTGCTGGACTCACTACAGATGTCGGACCCAATGCGTTTCGAATCGGATATAAGAAAGTATATTTACTCATTTGCATAACTCGTGTTACTAGCCGAGTAAAATTGTCACAGTTTTTAATATTCAATATGAATTTCTTGCTAGAAGGTTCGTGTTCAATATTTATAAAGCTGAAGGCAGACCTGAGAATAAATAGGCAATTTATCAAATTCCTCTTTTGGTCCCTAAGGTGATTACAATACAAAATGTTTGATATTGTTTGATCGTCTGTTATATCTCTGTTTCACCCTTAATCTTTTCAGGTGCCACAACAAAGAAATGATAAAGAATGTGGAAACTTTGTTCTCTATTTCATAAAGTCATTTGTCAAAAGCGCCCCGAAGAACTTTAGCATTGAAGGCTACCCTTACTTTGTACATTCTCGTTTAGTTTAAAAAGTGTATTTTTTTCGATTGTGGATTATAAGTATGATGATGAGGTACGAATTGCCTATTTTACTTTACAGATGAAAAATGACTGGTTCAGTGCTGAAGAAGTGGAACGCTTTTGTGAGAGGCTCGATTCTCCGGCATGTGATTTTCATTAATTTTAAAAAAGACATTTTTTATGAGCCTTTTTTTATGTGATCGATTAGCTTAGATGTGAGTGTAGATCAACATCTATGAACTCTTTGTACGAATATCGTTTCATTTATGAAGCATATTTTTTCATATGTGGATTATAAGTACTAATTGTCCATTTTACATTGCTGATGAAAAAGAACTGGTTCAATGCTGAAGTAGTGGAACGCTTTTTCTAGAGGCTTGATTCCTCGGCAAGTGATTTACGTTAGTTTTATGTTTACAATATTGAGATTATATTTCTTGATGAACCATTATTTATATGATTGATTATAGCTTAAATGTGGATGTAGATCAGCATATATTGATGAAAGAAATTAACAGTCTAGTATGTTCAAAGTTTGGCCTCTGTCGGTTTTTGTATGATCGGAGAGAAATTACAGGTTAGGAAACATGAATTATTAGGTTGCTTGCTTTTCGTAATCAAGAGTTAACTACAAATCAGATTAGGATCGAGTATTCATAATTTTATTAAAATATTAGGAAAGATAATGATGAATGACGGTGAAATATAAAATTATAGACAATATGATTTTTAGTGTTATATTTTCTTACTTATTTGAATTATGTTTTTGTAATATAAATTCATGAGATAAATAATAATTATAAAGTATGCAGAATTAAGTATAAATATAAAAGATAAATAAATAAATTATTGTATATAGAAGATAGAATAAATATTATATCTTAGATAACAAAAATAATTTACATATTTTTATTATTATGAATGTCTATGAAGAATTTCCACAATGTAAACATTTAGTTAAATGTTAATGTAAAATTTTAATATATTTTTACATAAATTATG